GGACCCCTGCCTCACCTGGTGCCAAGTGGTGTCTGTGCTGTTTAGGTCTGTGCAAACTCTATGAGAAGTTACTGTAAGGCATCAAATATAAAATGTAACAAACTGAACGAAAATATATAAGCAGATTATTATAAATTATTGGAAAAACTTTTAAAAAATGTGAAGAAATGGACAAGCAACTCTTTGCCTCCACTACAATTTACATCAACTGAGCTAAGGGGTACAGAGGTCTAATAAAGCTCTTGTGAAGTTGTCACGGCCTTTAATGATAGCATAAATCCTCATAATTCGCACAGACAAACAGCGTGCAGAGGGTCCTGAATGGTCATGGGAAGACAACCGTGCTCTGTGTTCACACTGAGATTACTTCCTGTGGGATCCCTTAGCAACAACTTTTTCTACCCTCTGCTCCTCTTTCTCCATCTGTTGCCATTTACCCTGTTCACTCATGTCACAGTCGTCAAGTCATGGATATCAGTGTTAAATGGTGCACACTGATATAAGAGATAGCATGAGAGATTATTAGACGAAGAGGATGGGAGAGGCAGACCACAAAAGTGTGTGCTCACCTGTAGTATTAGTAGCATCTGTATGATGGAGGGAGGAACTCGGGCTCGGGGCCGAGAGAGCGCCTCATCTAGTTTAAGGTTGAGGGTGATGGTGTTCCTGAAGTGAAGAAGAGCCAGCTGACGGACTGATGGCTCCTTTCCCTGATGATATATACACATGTTTCAATGTGATGAAGGCCTTTAATTGGAGTATTTGTTGGCAAGAATGTGTACCTGTACAGGATAGAAGATGGCCTGCAGCATGGACAGAACGTCACAGAAGAAGAAGTCCCACGTGTCAGCCAGAGAATCCAACAACTTCTGACCTGCGATACAACCAGGCAGAGCTTATAAAAGTATCAAGACTGATGTAGTAAACTAGATATTGGGATTGTGGAAAGCATGCTTAAATGACTGTGCATAAAAGTGGCTGTAGTTTCCAAATAGTTAATGTAATACTGTTGTTGGAGTCCTTGAATTCAAGCTCAAGGTTTGAACTATAATCACGGCTTCATTGTTTGACACAAGGGCAAAGTTCAGAGGCAGAAGATCAAAAAAATGTGTCATTGCAAAAATACTTATTGACCTATAAAAAACAGATCTGATAATCCAGATAGCAACTTTACAGCTTTGTTCTTTTATTTCTGGTGGGACATTTTTCTGCATATGCACACACACACACACACACACGCGCACACACATGCAAACCTTCTTACTAACTGACGTAAAGGATTGCTTCCTGTCTGGTTTTGTGATGACGGTTCTGTCACACAAATCTGTCACCATCAGAGTATGTGCGTTATATCAATTCAGCAGTGCTTCAAATAAAGGTCACACATTTACCACAGTACAAAATACCTTTCTCTCTCTCTACCTGTGTGTGTGCATCAGTGTGTGTTTCTGTGTGTCCTTGTGCAGAAAAATTGCCCCGTTTTTCCCGTTCAAGTTATTTTTTACTTATTGCTTTTCCTTTTGCTTTTGGATTTTTTTTTATTAAGTTATTATTTGGCCCTGTTTGAAACCATTAGAGACTAGACTTGTGTCATGTTAAGATAAAACACTAATCTCGGACTTCCCCTGAAACAAACTACTGGTAGTGTGAACACCTCATCAAAGCCAGAAGGCTTTGTCGGCTATGAACAAAGGAGTTGAAACTAAAGACTCAGCAAAGAATTTTGTAGAATTTTTTTACCGTGGTGAAAA